ATGGTGGGCACGTCCTCCATGGAAAGCTGACCTGCACGGATGAAACACAAAACTGACTGATAGACCTGTGTAACCCGCATTGGGTGACGTCGATCTGTGTACGCTGCAGTTGTTCATCTCTGTCATGTTCACTCGGTTTGGAAAGCCCCGCACTACATCGACCACGAGCTTGCAGGCAAAACAAAACTACACCTGTGGAAAACTCACCTTGTTTAGGCAGAACCTCTCTAAACATTGACTTCACTTCAGGCATTGTGCTTCAGCAAGGTTCCTGTTAATGTAATGCAAAAGACTATTATATCCATATGGTTAATGCACTCTAAATAACGCAAAAAGGTTCGTGGATTTACCGTTTATCTCATCAGCTGATGTTATACGCACTTCCGGTTCAGCTCCGACTCGCACGCCCTGTGTTGATTCGTTGCTGCCGCCTAGCGTCAATCTCGTTGAATGTTTTTTGCTGATAAGGGGTGGAAATCATTTTCATACCGGTGGATAGTGTTCAACTTTTGGGTTTTGATCATACGCATATTTCTGGACCATTATTATTTTGTTGTTGTTTTTAATGCACGTAACGTTAGAATATTTTCACAACATTTAGACACATTTCTCCTCAGTTTCATTGTGTCACTAAACCACATTTGTTCCAGAAAATATTTTATAAATTCGTCCATATTTCAGTTTTTTATATATATATATATATATTGAATGAATTCTGTTATCTCCGTCCTCTAATTCACCAGCTGTTGATCAACGCCAGGGTGTTTTATTGCGTCTGCCATTGTTGCTGCTAAATTTCCCAAACAGAAATAAATCTGGAGCTCCAGAAGTCTCGTGACGCGTCAGTGACGCGCGCGAGCTGCAGCGCTGCTGGACAGGAGGAGGAAACAAGGATGGTGGAGTCACACCTCTCAAGGTAAAGCACTTTAACGCACCGCGCGGTTAGAGTCGCACCTTCCGCGGCGCGGGGTTTATCTTCGGAGCGATAAACGCGCGCGTTCGGCGGTCGAGCGCGACAGACGCGGCGCTGTGCGCGTTCAGTGGGTTTGAATGCGCTCTTTTGTTCAGTCCCGGTGTTCTGACATTCCATCCTACCCGTCAGATTGTCCTACCAAGGCTTACTGCGCATGCGCACATCAATAATACGTCATTTTTTGTCACGCTGAACAACACGCCCATAATATTTTACTACTTACGCGAGATCTTCTTCATCTGAGGTAAGTTTTTCACTATTTTTGTCAATTATTACTATACAAAGATATATAGCAGTAATGAGAACTGTTTACTCTCACATTCATACAAAGCAAATTCATATTAGCATTTTTTTCATGAAAACATTAACGTAAAATCATTCTACTCGTTTATTTCATACTGGTAGGACAATCTGATGAGGCATTTTGCACTGTAAAATCATACTACTCGTTTATTTCATACTGGTAGCACAATCTGATGAGGTAACGTTACTTTGCACTGTAAAATCACCGTAACATGGCCTAATAAGAAAATTCGGCAAAGTTACACAGAAATATTTTATGTAACTTAGTCACAGACGCGAAGCAGAAACGCTCAGTAGGATTTTACGACGAGGTAGGATGAACCGATAGATATGGCTATAATTTTGCGCTACGGTAGGAAAATCTGACAAGGTAGGACAGATCGACAGAACACCGGAATGGCCGCTGCTGCTTTATGTGCGTTCGTGTGCGTGTGTGTGTGTGTGCGCGTGCGCGTGTGTGTAGAGTGTGTGTAGAGAGAGAGTGAGTGAGTGAGAGTGAGTGTTTTCTTTTTTCACATATTTTGTAGGCTTGCGAAAAGAAAGAGAGAGTGTGTGGGAATAAAAAAGAAAGGTGCCGCGAAAGCCAAGTATGTGTGCGGAATGCGTCTGAGCCGCCAGACTGTAAACAAAAGACTGATTTGTCCCAAAATGGTCATAAAGTCAGAGTCAACAAAGCTTTATTGGTACGATTGTTAACATTGACAACATTGCGAAAGCCTATAAAACATTTATAGCACACAGATATATACTACAGAATATAAATACGTTTAAGTAAATAATGAAAAGAAAGACATTATAAAAAATGTAAAAGAAAAATATATACAGTGTCAGTTCAACCGACAGTACAGCACGACTGCTGCTGCGCGCTCACGCGAACACACGGCTCTTTTGAATCGGATCTTTTCAATGAATCGATTGAATGCATTCACAAAAGCCAAACTATTTGCTTTGCGTTATTTTTTATTATTATTTTTTTGATAACCTGATGTCAAATACTAGTTTTAAAAATGCATTATTATTATTAAATTTATTTCAATTTAAAAGATTTTTTTCTTCACACTTTTATAAAATAAACTTATAAATGTCTGTTTAGAGGTTCCTGTTTAACAAATTAAACTATTTAGTAATTGCACTAATAAAATGTGCGACACTTTACGTTTACTCACAAATGATAGTGTAATACCTAAAAATGAATGTAAAGGGCATTCACTTTTGTTTTTGCTCTGCAAAATCTGGAATCTGCTTGTTCCAGTGAAAAGTGTGAGAGTGAAAAGGTGAATAATGGGAGTCGCTTAACCACAGACATCTCTCCGACTTCGAAGATGAGACAGATTTAGTGTGCATTCAAGTCTACTGAGCTTTGCCATTTTTCAGACCGGGGTCATCCTTGCTGTCGCATACACACGTGCTCAAGGGGCCAAGACCACAAGTGTGGGTATTGTGACAGGGACAACCAACAAAGAACGAGCCCTGTGTCCCAATATGCTTTCTTACTATTTAGTTGGCTAGGACTGTAGTGGATTGTCGTAAAAAAAAAAAAAAATGTAGGGCTGTGTTTGAAATCGCATTTGGTACTTGTTTTGAATAAGTTCTTTGTGACCATTCAAAAGTATGTTCTAGTATGAATGCAATCTGGACGTACTATTCACCATCCATGTTGTCATTATCATGTGATCTACCAGGATCAGTTGCGTCACTTCGCTGCCATTCATAAATCCTCTCCCAAAAGCCTCATGGGATAGTAAATTGTCCATCAAATGCACAATTCAGAATCCCACCGGAAGAAGTAGATCAAGCGAAAAACCTAGGACTAGTTCGCAAAAGTAGGTTTATAACTTATTTGTTAATATTTAATTAACGATTTATTTGACAGCAATGGCTCTAGAGGCAAAGTTGTTCACCATGAGGAGATCTATCAAATGATATGCATTTTGTGGGGATATGTGCAACACCACGTGATTACAGAGCCATAAAACTCGTTAGCGCCAACTAGTGGCCGATATCTTTCAAAATTCTTACAGACCTCTAGGGCCACAAGTTGAACATGCCCATCGAGTTTCGTTCCGATCGGCCTCCGTTAACCTTGCCTTATAGGTGCTCAAACTTCAATGGTCGATGGTGGCCATGTTTTTTTAGATACGCCAATATCCTTTTACTGTACGTTCAAACCGCCGCCGACTTGAGCTTCCAAAGCGGCCACAAGTAATTCATTTTCAATGGAAGCTGGCTTTTCTCAGCTGCAAGGAACGTCAAATTCCTCGGTGTCGCGTGTTGGGCGTTTTTTGAGCGTTTTGAGCGTCAATCTGAAAGTTGAAAGAAGCTCAACTTTATGGTAGCGGCACGCAGCGGCAAACGCCAGCAACCAACCAGAATAAAGACGTCCTTCACTCTGGCTGATTCCGAAACATACGATGTGAACTTTCGTTCCTACCAAAACATTAGTTCCTAGAAAATGGAGGAGAAGCTAATAATCCCTGTTGCTGGGTTTCCTATCATATATGATATGACGTTGTTTGAGTCCGACGTCTTCTCCGCAAATACAGTAAAGTAGCACCAAACACAACAACTTCGCGATTTTCCATAATGATCCAGTGATGCACATTTGAGAATGAGCGCAACTTTTATTTGAAATATTTACGAACGCTCGTTTTAAGCGGGAATGCAATTCATTTGCTCACAGTGACAACGATTTGACCAATTGCACTAATGCAAATAATAGTCTAATGCAAATAATAATAATAATAGCTAATTATAATTTTTTTCCCCGACCAAATGTGACCAAAACGGTTATAAAAATGCTGTCATTATAAAAGGTTTCTTCAATGTATTGCTTGTTTTTTCTGTTTATTACATTTCATGTTGTGACTCTTCTCTTCTCCCTGCTACGTCAGAGCGTTCAAAGCGTCCAAAGCGTCAACGAGCTTCCCTGTGCTTTTTGACAAGCGTCTTTGACAGAGCGGCCAGAGCTTCTTTGACGCTCAAGTCGGCGGCGGTGTGAACGTACGGTTAGACATACATGGTTACTTGCACCAAGACACTGCATACCAAATTTCAAGTCATTTAAAAAACGGTCAAGTCTTTGGCCTTGTTGCCTAGTACTGTGAATTCGGATACTCTCGTCATACTGTGTAGTAGGGAAGTTTTTCATTTCGGATGCAACCTAGGACTGGGAATTGGTGCATCAGTAATTTGGTGTTCTCAAAAAATGGAGGCAGGTGTACGGAACTTTTTTTTTTTTTTTTTTTTTATTGAACACACTTATTTACAAAAAAAAAAAAAACAACTTACAAAATCTTGGTGTACGGAACTTGCAGGGGAGGGGGTTTAAAGTCAGCAATGGAACTTTGCGATTCATTTTTTTCCCCCCTATTGGGATGTCCGAAAGAAATGCTTCTCGAACAAGGAAAAAAATTAGGGCGGGACTTGTTTTTTTAGAGGGAATGATTGGATGGTTTTGGTTTGCTATTGGTGTGATCTGATGTGATTGATAGGTTCCTCACGTCAATAAACACCTCATCATTTTGAATAAAGATTATGATTATTTTGAATTATTAGTGCAATATTGTCAGTTTTGATTTAATGATGACTGAAATGATTCGTTATACATTTTATCTTTAAAATTCTTTAAAACGAACCGTTCGAAAGAACCGATTGATGGAAAAGAATCGGACTTTCCATCACTAACGCACGCGCACGCACGCGCACGCACTCGCTGCGGATTGAGCTCTTCCCGCTTTGAGCTCGAGCTGCTGATCCGAGTGCCGTTTGGCGGATGACAGTTTGTTTTCACAGAGGGCCTGTGTGAAAAGAAGAACGAACATTTAAGTCCTCAACTACGGGACGTTCATCGCTTTGTCGTCAAGATGAGGCCGCTTATTCCAAAATGTACGAGTTTGGTGAGAAGTGTGAGGTGACATTTGTCTTTTGTGGTGGTTTTTTTTTTTTTTTTTTTTTTTTTTTTTTGTGGGAGCTCGCGCAGGGCTAATGCTGCTAGCCTGTTAGCCGCAGCTGAAGGGTGGCTAATGCTAGCAGAGAGATTTCCTTAGCCAGCTTTCAAGCTACCCGTATATTCTGTCATATATCACGACACAGCGAATGTGCTCCGATTATTTTCGGGTTTTTTTATCTTTTGAAACCTATATCATCTTAGTCGGTATTGTTGTCATTATGGTGTTTCTGTGGTTTAACAGCAAGGAATGTTTAGCTAGTTAGCCATATCAAAACAGACGCTTTGTACTCTGAGCCCCCTCACACGTCAGATTTTTTTATTGCTTACTATTTTAAACGTTTTATTATACATGTAAATGCGCTGTAGGATGATAATCTGGTCTATTGTTATGCGAAATTGGGAATTTGCATCTCTTCCTGTCCCGTTGATGTGCAGGGTTACATATGTAATTTAGGCCCTAATCTACATTGGAATTCATTCACTAGTAGAAGTTATAAATCTAATTCAAAGCTTTTGATTTGTTATTGTTGTTGTGGTTTTATTGTGTACCTGTGTGCTGTCAGATCTCAGAAAGACTATTACATTCTTGCATAGAATGGCAGTGAAATTGTTGTTAAAATGTGTCTGTGAGATTAAATAATAGTCTTTAATTTAGGGATATTTTGTCAGGTAAAATGCCCTGTTCTGATTCGACTTTGTTCGTGTGTGTTATTTGTAGCATGTGCACAATTGCATCTGTAACCTATTTAAGCAGAGTTCTGTGGGTTTGGTGGCCTTGTTTTAAAGCCAACATCCTACAGTGGAGCTGAGCGAGTGATATTGTCATATTTAGCTAAATAAATATGTCATGACTCATAAACTAATGAAGACTTTATACATCATCCCAGTATTGCATTCAGCCATGCAATTTTGATGCTATGGTAAACAATTGTTATTTTCTTCTGTCTTAGTTGGCATTCCTGTGCATTTCAGGATCTGTTTTATAAATATCAGATGCATCATCTCTCCGAGCTGATGTAAGTATGTTAGATGTGTGGTAAGGGAGGAAAGATGTATTTTTTTCCTGCGGTCGGATGTAAGATTAGGAGAAAGTTGTGCAGGATGACCCCTGCCTTACTGTGCTGTTCAACAGTCTTCGCCCACCACGCACACATCCAGAATCTTCCCGGTTTTCTTCATATTTACTGTCCTGGTTTTTTTTTTCCATGCACTTGGTGTCATTTGAGATGCACTGTCCAACCGCTGATAATTATTATTGCTGATGATCAATGGAATAATCTTTATATTGTTTTGTCTTTTGTGCAGGCACAATGAGTTTCCAATCTAGACTTGTAGTTTTACAGAATTATAGATTTCGAAGTGGTGCTTTTGTAATTGAGCTTTCAGTTAAAGGGATAGTTTACCCAAAAATAAAAATTGTCTTCATTTAAGCAAGAAATGTTGAGGGTGGGAGGATCTAGTATTCACTGCCCTCTCAGTCTGTTTTCAAATGTTGATGATTTTGGGATACAGATTTTTGCAGATTAATGCAGTGAGAAGATTTCATTAATAAATCACACATAATTGTAAGAGCCACACTAGCTATGTTTCTATCCAACTTATAGCAACATTGGAATATCTCATAAAACATTTGCGAATAAAGCAGCATCTCCATCCCAGGTGTTCAAGAGAACAAAATTGTCACTTTTTGGGAAATTGGCAAAATATCTGTAATGAAAATGCAACCGGGAAGCCACTGTGACTTTTTTTTTTTTTTTTTTTTTTTTCCTTCTTCATAAAAGATGATAAATGTTGTCATGCGTTTGGAGGCGGATACCTTCGTTTGTTTAGGAACATAATCATGCGAGACAGTTCTGGTATTGTGAAAACCCTATCTGGCGATACTAAGATAAAGTAGGGCTGGGCGATTTCTTTCTGATTAATTAAAATGTAATATTTTACCATGATTTTATTATTTTTAAATCGAGAAATTGCTTTTTTCAATAAAAATGGTTGCAAACTAGGGCTGTCAAACGATTAATCGTGAAATGAAAAAGTTCGTGTTTACATAATATATGTGGGTGAACTGTGTATAATTATTTTATATATATAAATATACACACATGCTTGTATATATTTAAGAAATATTTTTTTTTATGTCTATACTGTAAAAATAGATTTATATATAATTTATATTATATATAAATATTTTATATATAAATAATATTTTTATTCAAAAAATATAAAAAACAAAAGCATTAATAAAAGCATGCTCAAGCAGCGTGAGCGGAGAAAAAAAACAAAGCAGATTGTGATGACCGATGAGGATAAACGAGCGAAAAAGAAAGAATTAGACAGAACCCATTGACTCAGTGTCAAAACTCTAGCTGCGTACGTAGTAGGGCTGGGGTAAACGATTATTAATTAAACGATTAGTTGGGCGATTATTTTATCGATTAGTCGACTAATCTAATGACTAATTGGACGACTAATATAAAGAATATTTTTTCTGCTGCTCCTGCTTACTAGCCTGTGCGTTCACGGCAGGCTCCGCTGTGGAGGTAGGGCTGTAGCGCAGCAGAGAGCAAGGGGGTGGGACCTGTAAGTTGTGCTTGTTCAAATTTTCAAAGTCAACGTTTTCTCAAAACTCCCTACTGCAGCTTTAACGTATTTTTATGATCAGTGCTCGAAGTGGGGCGGTACACCGGTACGCAGTACCAGCACTTCTACATTTTACTCTTAAGCATACCTGCACTGTTTCTTGCATACCGCTACTTCTGGCATGATGCCGCTACTCTATATACCACTTATTTACACTGCACATCTGCAGCGCAATACGGCTACCGGAGCTGATTGCGGCCACCGCAATCGTGATCAGCGTGTGTTTTTTCCGGTTCGCATGTTAATCAGTGAGTGCGTTCATACCGTGCAGAGGAGCGGCACATGAGCAGCAGTGAAGCGCGGGTTCGGGCCGAGTCTAATTTTGTTGTGCTACGCTCATTTAAAGTGAAAGCACAATTTTAATGGAGAAAATAAATATGATTTCACACAAAAAGTGCCCAAAATGCACAGAATTTGCATTTAGTGTTTTTTAACAAGAACTGGAGTAGGCTACGTCAGAAAAGAAAATGATGACTCAAAAATATTTATACAAGATTTAGCCATTTAAACTTGATTATTCTTAATTATTTAGTTTGGGTAAAACTATATGTTTTATAAATAAATAAAACAAGCAAACTAGTCAGAAATTCTATAAGCTTTCTTTTAGTTTACTTTATGTAATAGCCTACACAGATGGGTACATCCCCAAATCAAAGCCGAGTGTACTTTTTTTTTATTTTTTATGTGTGTTGCCTTGTAAACATATCGAAATATGACTGAAAAGACAATATCAGAGCTGTTTTCATGGTGTTTTTTTTGTTGTTTACCATTACATGCAATTGTTGTAAACCTCCAATCTTAACAAACTTCAAGAATCAAGTTTATTAATGACCAACTTCTAAAAAGAGAATGTTTCTTTCTAAAGAAATGCGCGCACACACACACACTACTTGTTTAAATACATTTATGTTGTTAATAAATAACAATAAATTGTTGTTGTACCTGCAATATTTCCAAGTTTTGTTTTTCACTGTAGAAATTTTATTCAAATGTCATGATGTGCCAATGCAAGAGAGTACCAGCACCTTTCCCCCCACTTCAAGCACTGTTTATGATCAATTTATTGCTGTCACTTTTGAGTGCTTCTGGCAACCATTTTACAGTTTACCATAGTCCATGTTTCAAAAGCCTTTTGTTTTCTGAATACTTATTTATTTGGATGGGGTTCCGTTCATATTTGGATATTGATCTGCAAATGTTTGTTTTGTTTTCCTCTTGCCTCATAGCAGACCTGTTCTGTGAAACCAGTGTCTTGCTCAGAAGTGGCTTTTCTGCGAAATATCGCAGCCTTGGGATTTCTAGGCAGCTTATCTGAAGTCGCCTCTGATTTAAAGGAGATTTGACGCTATAAGAGTGTCAGCATCTAAAGTTGACAGTGGAAACATACAGATCCCACAGTAAATCAAAGGCTTTGAAGTGCCTCACAAAGTGACCTGTTTACAATTCAGTCAAAGCATTTTCCATGGACACAGGTCAGCAGAAACTGCTGCAGTTCACTTTGGGGACTCCACTCATCTCAAGAAGTAAGCCAGATCAGTAGGTGGAAGGTCATGAAACTGAAAGTTATTTTGTCTTCTCTTCAGGTGACCTCAGTTCCGCATTCAGTGGTAGTGGAGGTCAGTTAATGTATGACACATTGCTGTCTTAATGTGTGGAGTTTGGTGCACATGCCATCTGTCAGTATCTGTCAGAGTGTTCATGTGCGTCTACACATTGCTATATTGTTATTGTAGACGAGCTGGACTCTTTGGCCGTAAAGGTCTTCTGACCTGCGGGAGGCCTGAGCTTTGAAGGGCACTCCCAAAGATTATTCCCAGCGCCATTAACCTTTCTGCAGCTCTGATCTGAGCTTGGACTCGGCACACGCACACACTTCAACTGCACATTGAATTTCACAATACAGGGCTGAGGAACACATGCTTATGCAAAGATTGCATCTAACAGAGTACTGAGGCTGTACTGATTCGGTTTGGTTGACGTTTTTATTGGGATTACTGAGTGTTGAATGTCATTGGTGATTTAATGAACATTGTGAGACACCTGGCATCTCACGGGTAAAGGTGGTTGATGGAAACCTGATGCAAAACTGCTTTATATTTTTGAGCAGGTGAACAGGGGTCTGTGTACAAAAGTGTACAGAAAAAGAAATGTATTAAAGAATTTATTTTGGGGCCTGTCATGGCAAACGTGCTCTTATGTTCAGTGGGATTTTATTTTTGTTTACTCTAAATTGTAACAACTTTGATATTAATTCTTGATATTAATATTTGAGTAAACTAAAACCCTAAAACCCAATCAGAAAGTCATATTGGAATTGTTAAACTATGTCTAATTTATTTGTTAATATGTCGTTATCGGCTGATAATAGCTTTATGTAGTTTGATCGGTGGTCTCTATAAAGGCCTATCAGACACAAAATTCACGTGACAATTTTTCCACTACATTAAAGTCCCTTTCAGGCACGTCATTTCACTCGGCGACTATCTTTGAAACGGCTCTATCGAGCTTCTGTATGTGTGTGTGCATTACAATGCAGAACGGGAATTAAATAACGTGTACAGTAAGCTGTTTAAAACGTGCTTTCTTCCGAATCCCGATCAATTTTGAGCATCTACATAGAGTAATAAAACATCTTATGGAGTGCTCTGAGTATGTATTTATTTGTCATTTTAACTGTTTGGACACGGAGCTTTAAAGTGGACTTCCAAGATTTTTTATCTTGTGTCCATGCCCAACATGACATCATGACTTTTGCGTAAACATACACGCCACTTTCAAGTCAGGTGGCGTGTTATCTCTACGCATTTGAGCTATCCGCGTGTTTGCGTGTATGTCTACGCTATTAACGTCCGCGTCATTCCACGTGTCTGTACACGACGTCAAATCTCCAGTCATAAATGCCATTAACCCCAGTGACGGTTAAGTTTAGGGACGGGGTTGAGGTAAGTCATATATTTATATAACGTTAAGTCAACGGCGTTCATTAACACGCTGAAAAGCAATTATGCGTCTAGCACGCCAAAAATGGAAATACGAATTGGCGTGTCATACACACACTACTTCATGACATCAGTCTGCCATGCTGTGTGTCCATGGCGTAAAATGAGGGCGTAGGGGAAGCGGAGACTTGACTATATATGGAGGCGTGTTATTCTTATGATGATCGTTTTCAGCCGCGGGATTTATCAAGGGCAGGCATTGCGTACACCTGGATTTCAAAGGTACGCACAGCTTCATAAATCAGGCGGTGAGAGGAGTGCAAACATAATCTTACGCCAACCCGCAAGAATGATAAATGACGGCCATTATATGACACTCATATCATTATAACACACGCAAATCATTTTTATGCAATCAACGTCATCAATGTGTCAACCTACTACTGTCAACCTGATAGAAAGAAAATATTTTCCTGAGTATTTGCTTTAGTTACAATATAGTATTATAGGAAGAAACTAGCCTGGTTTTGTCCACACCCTTAAAATGAATCTAATGCATTCTTATCAGTGAAACGCTTTAAGGCTTTTCCCATTGTGAAAGCTTAGTACCCTATATAATTTTTCTTGCAGGCTAGTTAATATTTTCCCGCACATCCACCAGTAAAGGATCAACTGATGCATCGCCGAAAGAGATTTGAGATTTAATTGCTCATAATTGCCTCAAGTGGCTGACCATTGACGGCCTGAATGACTTGATGCTGCTTCTTCCTGTAAGCGTTTGTGGTACAAGCATACAGGAAGGAACTGTATGTTTATTAGATAGCAGCTCACATTTGCGTCATCGAGGGAAGCTCTTAAAGACCTTTTCTCACATCCGAAATTTGAACGACACTTTGTCTGTAAGTCATTCTCGTCTTTTGGGGAATTGTGTGTCTTAACTGAAACCATTTGTTTTGTTTAACAGCCAAAGGATGTGAATCCCGGCGACCCGTCTGTGTAGAACAGCTCTAGCCGAGCCAAGGGAAAGAGTGCCGTTCAAACAAGCATGAGGCTGCTGGCCTCGTCGCCACACCGACTACAACACACACGCGTCGCCCCTATGGAGTTTTAACCCCTGCAGGAGTACAGGCTGCCTCGGTCCACCGACACGGGTATGTATGAGCACACACCGATATAACCCTTTGGTTCTGCCCTTGAACAACGAGCAAAATACTAGAGCGATAGAAAGAGATCGAGAGACTGAGGGTCCCATGTGCCATTGGGCAGCGGGGCTTTCGCCATGAGCAGTACTCTGGGCAAAGATAAAGACTCTAAGGAGAGGGAACCCAAAGCTGAAGGGAAATCCAAAACCAAAGGGAAAGATGCCAAAGACGGGAAGAAAGACACGAGCGGCACTTCGCCCGCGGTGGCCTTCGCGGTGGACAGCACGATAAAGCGGCCCAACCCGCCGCCTAGCACGCGCAAAAAATCCAGCAACGCGGAGGTCATAAAGGAGCTGAACAAGTGCCGTGAGGAGAACTCGATGCGCCTGGACCTGTCCAAGAGATCCATCCATCTCTTGCCCTCTTCCATTAAGGAGCTGACCCAGCTGACCGAGCTCTACCTGTACAGCAACAAGCTGCAAAGTCTGCCGTCCGAGTTGGGATGCCTGTCAGGACTGGTGACGCTGGCGCTCAGCGAGAACTCTCTCACCAGCCTGCCCGACTCGCTGGACAACCTGAAGAAGTTGCGTATGCTCGACCTGCGGCATAACAAGCTGCGGGAGATCCCGGCCGTGGTGTACCGCGTCACCTCCCTCACCACGCTCTACCTGCGCTTTAACCGGATCACCACCGTGGAGAAGGACATCAAGAATCTGTCCAAACTCACCATGCTCAGCATCCGAGAGAACAAGATTAAACAGCTGCCCGCGGAGATCGGTGAGTGCTTGAAACTATTCCCTTTTTTTCATTTCCTGAAAGATGTATATAATGGCTGTATTAATTGATATTGGATTGTGTGTGTGTGTGTGTACAGTCGTGCTTAAAATTAATGGTATCCCTGGTAAATATGATCAAAATTGTCTTTAAAACAACAAATCTGCGTCGTTTATCCTTTTGATCTTTCATTAACCTTTCATTGAAGTAAAAGATTTGAAAGTGGGGTGGAAATTACATTATGAAATAAATGTTTTTCTCACACAATTATTGGTACCCATCTCTGAAGTATATTCCCATAAATGTTTACCTTTTTAGCACATCATCAATTGTCTAGCTATGACTTCTGTTTTCACAGGAGTTTAAATATGAGGCCAACTTCCCCTAATCATCCTTCACAATGAGTAAAACCAAAGAATATAGTTCTGATGTGCATCAAAATATTGTTGAGCATCACAAAATAGAAAGACGCTGTAAGAAAAATAGCTAAAGAATTGAAAGTCCCACTTCAGTTGTTTTACTTCAATGAAAGGTTTGATTTCTGGCAATTTTTTTGAATGAAAGATCAAAAGATAAACGATGCAGATTTATTTTTTACAGCCAGTTTTGATCATATTTACCAGGGGTGCCATTAATTCTGAGTATGTGTATGAATAATTGTGGCCAACGTGTTTTGGAGAAAAAACATTTATTTTTTCTTTTTCATTTTTTATTTATTTTTCTGTGATTTTCCCCCTCCCCCCCACTTTCAATTCTTTTACTTATTCTTTCTTTCTTATATACATATATATACACACACAGTATTAGTCATTTGGCTGTTATATATGGAAGAGGATTAGGGCCAAGCAATAATAAAAAAATAAATAAAACCATCTCGAGATTAAAGTCATTATAAGGCGAGATTAAACTCGTTAAATTTCGAGAAAAAAAAGTTGAAATACAGTCTTGAGAATAAATTCATTAAATATTGAGAATAAAGTCGTGTTTCGAGAAAAACATTGTTCGATTTCGAGAAAAAAGTTGAAATACAATCTTGAGAATAAACTCATTAAATATCGAGAATAAAGTCGTTGTGTTTCGAGAAAAAAAATCGTTAGTTTTAGAGAAAAAAGTCGAAATACAATCTTGAGAAAAAAATTATTAAATATCGAGAATAAAGTTGAGAAGATCGAAAAAGAACACGTCGAAAGATGGTTTTATTTTTATTATTATTTCTTGGCCCTAATCCTCTTCCGTAGTTATCAGCCATAACATACAAATAATTATTGACATAGCATAGCATAAAAATAATGATTGCCTTATTTCTATATGTTGCCTGTTCTGGGAGTTTTTTGAGTCCGGGTCTTCTGATTGGTTAACAAATCTGACCATATTCTATTTTCTATTGATTTTTATAAAAATATAAATATATAGTGTCATTCCATTAAATCTCTTGTAAGTATAAACATTGAGTGTTCATTTGCGACGATTCTGCTGGCTTGTGTTATAGGTGAGCTCTGTAACTTGATTACGCTGGATGTAGCCCACAACCAGTTGGAGCACCTTCCTAAAGAGATCGGCAATTGCACTCAGATCACCAACCTTGACCTGCAGCACAATGATCTTCTTGACCTACCTGAGACTATAGGTGAGGATCTGCTCATGGTTGGAGGCTAAACAAAAATTGTACTCTACAGTTCTGCTTTGGGGAAATGTGTTGGTTTTGGGAGCATTATTAAGTATAATCTAATTAATTATAATCTGATCAGTGGAGGAAGTATGCCTATATGCCTGTGTAAATACTAGAGCAACAGTTTTGGACCACAGACAACACATTTGGGACCAGATTTACTAAACAGGACAGTTTAACGTGAGAGTGAAATCTCATAAAAGCGCAGATGGGAGTGAAAAGTTTGCTTTAAAGAACACAGCCGGATCATTTCCATAATGACCAACACAATCTACCAAAAGCAGCGCATATTAGCATTTGATTTATGTCGTGCTTTTTTGGGCGGTAAATAATAGCGCAAATACCAGTAAATTGACTAGCACAAACCTTAGTAAATCCCCTTCCATTTAAATACTCTCCTCCCATAAATACTGCGTCTGAAAGGGAAACTCCTTCAAATTCATATGCAATAAGATCAACTGAAATAACCCTGTCAAGCCTTTTCAGGGCTAATTTTTCACTATGTGAAACTGTGCTGGCGCAAGCTGTTAGTAAATCTGGCACTTGAACCATAAACTTAAACATATCGGTGGCATTTCTCACATTAATTTACTGTTTCAGGTAATTTATCGAGTATAAACCGTCTGGGTCTGAGATACAACCGCCTATCAGCAATCCCTCGATCTTTAGCGAAGTGCCGCGAGCTGGAAGAGCTCAACCTTGAGAACAACAACATCTCAGTGTTACCAGAGGTGAGGCTTGCTTCTGCTCATTTCAGTCTTTAAACATTTTCAGTCTTGCATTACTTGTCAGGGTCTCGTTTATGTATATTAATCGATCCCTGTCTGTTCCTCCTCAGGGGCTTCTGTCCAGTCTGGTGAACCTGACGAGTCTGACGTTGGCGCGGAACTGTTTCCAGTCTTACCCAGTGGGCGGCCCGTCGCAGTTCTCCACCATCTACTCGCTCAACATGGAGCACAACCGTATCAACAAGATCCCCTTCGGCATCTTCTCCCGAGCCAAAGTGCTCAGCAAGCTCAATATGAAGGTGATTGTTCACAGCTGAAGATATGTAGGACACAGGCTTTAACTGCAGAGCAGAATAATGGTAGAGGCTTGTGGGTAGGCTGTTGTCATGGACCGACATTCAGTTAAATGTGAATAAATGTGAAAAACACTACCATTCAATGTTTTTTTTTTTTTTTTTTTTTTTTTTTACAGGACAACCAGTTAACATCTCTTCCACTGGATTTTGGGACGTGGACCAGTATGGTGGAGCTGAACCTGGCAACAAACCAGCTTACAAAGATTCCAGAGGATATCTGCGGACTTGTGTCTTTAGAGGTGACCTCATGTTCTGTATTTTAACAAGAATTTCATGATGGCAAACCCATTTTTGTCATGTAGTTAGGTCTGTGTTTTGACTCTGTTTTTCCATTGGTTCCTTCAGGTCCTCATATTGTCCAACAATCTCTTGAAGAAGTTGCCTCATGGGATTGGGAACTTGCGGAAACTACGAGAGCTTGACCTGGAGGAGAACAAACTGGAGTCCCTCCCGAACGAGATTGCCTACCTTAAGGATCTGCAGGTTGGACATTTGTCTACACAGGCAGCTGACTAATATCGTGTACATTTTTTATTTTTTATTTTAGTTGGGTGAAACTTTGCAGAACTGTACGGAGCACCTAAAGGGACATGATGATGTAAAATAAAATAAATTGGAGGAAAAATGTTCATTTAATGCATTTTATGTATTTCGTTCCCCCGTGAAACTTTTGCTCACAAAAGCATTGAAATACAGTTCTTCCTCCCACCTCATATTAGTTCTGTGTTCTAATAAGTTCTGTGAGCGAAGTTTCTTGGGTAAATACAAATACTTCATGAGAGTACACAAAGTGTGCACAAGTTTTATGGGGGAACGCAATTTTTTTTAAAGAGAACGCAAAACTTTTACAAACAGCCGCAAACTTTTTTGAGGGAATGCAAATGCTTTGTGAGATTGCTAAAGTTTTACAAGAAAACGCAAACATTTTGCAAGAACCTAAACTTTTAAGAGTGAATGTAAAGCAGGGGTTTCCAACTTTTTTTTTAAATTTATTTTTTATATTTTTTTTTGAAATTGGCCAAGAGTTATACAATACTTAAATCACTTTAAACAACTCTCATATGAACAACTATCCAAACTGTTTTACACCTGAAAGCATTTTTGTAGCCCTATATATTAGGGGTGGTTAATCTGTCTGATTTCCTGATTCGATTCGATTACGATTATTGAAGTCCTGATTCGGTTACAGTCGATTTTTGATTATTTACGATTCTCGAATACCGATTATTGATTTTCCATTTCACAACAGTAAACGAAAATACACTAGACCAACATATGATTATATTAGCAGCAGCAGCAACATTTTGGTATTAATTGCACTCTTTATTTGTTTGATATTCAATGAAAATGTAATTATGGTTAGTGAGGACATGCAAACATGCTTGTTGTCTACTACTTAGGCAACTCAATATATTTAAATAATTTTTTTTTCAAAACCAATTGTGTTGCATTATAATGCAAAGCTCTTGGTTCTATTAATTGACAGCATTAAAATGCATTTTGTGATTTCCTTCAATTGAATATCTTTGAAGCAAGTTTGGGGGACTTGAAGGGCACCTGATTCAGAGAATCACCCAAAAATTCAAAAGAACAGCATTTATCTGAAATAGAAAGCTTTTTAACATTAAACAATAGTGTTCAAAAGTTTGGAGACGGTTAGAATTTTTATTTAATATTTTGGGCAAAAGAAAAAAGAAATCTACTTTTATTCATCATGGATAAATTAAGTTGATCAAAAGTTACAGTGAAGACATTTATAACGTTACGAATCAATTATCTGAATCTTTTGTGTGTGTGACTAATAAATACTTAATACTTTATGCTTTAAAAGTACAAAGTAATGACCCATAAAGAATAAACGTACAATATATTTTATTAACATTGCAAAGAACTATATTTTTATATATAAAAAAAACCTTTAAAAAAAAAAAAACCATATACTACAGTATATGTACGTCACTCTTTAATGTCACAGGACAAAACAGAATCAGAGAATTCTTTATATATAATCAGATAATTGAAAATAGTACTTTGCATACTGTTAAAACACAACTATAGTTTCATATATAGTGCATCATAACTAAGATGAAAATGTATGATTATAGTGACTAAACCAGTCCCTCCAGGATTTCACGATTTTTTTTTTGTGATTTTTGTGATCAATATGACTGATTTTGTGGTGGTAATTTCCAAAAATTTGTGAAAAAATTTGCGATTTATATATAACATTTACCATTATAGTATTCAGTCCTTCCAGAAAAACGCGGAGTTTTTTTGTGATTGTTGCGGGCAAAAATTATGCGGCCCGTTTTCTTTAAAAATGCGATGGAATATGCGGGATATTTATGCAATGAAATTGCAGGAATTTGCAAAAATTGAGGGAACTTGCAAAAATTGCGGTTTGATGAAAAAGAGAAAAAAAGTGATTCCCCCAACATCCTGTTCTCACTAGGCTAATGTAAGAGTAATTTCTTATTACTTCCTTTGATAAGCAAGCATACTACATCATAGAAAGTGCTGGGAATATTTAATTTCTCATCTTGTTAAGTTGGCTTGAGAAAGCCAACTTACTGAAATCCTATTTAAACTTATTATTATTAAGTTGGCTTGAGAAAGCCAACTTACTGAAATCCTATTTAAACTTATTATTATTATTATTATTATTATTCTTCTTACTCAAAATTTTCTGACTCTAACTCCTCCTAGAGCTTTAACTCTACAAACTCCAAACTCGGGTCAGACCTTCAGACTGTTCTGACTTAGTGTGCTATATCTTTTTAGACTGATTCGACTTTCAGATTTCTTAAAAATTAATATTAAAAATCATAAAAATCCCATTGACTTTCATTGCAGCATGGTCAAATTGAGCCAAGACTACGGTGGCCCAATAGCGTACAACAAAAACTCAAATCTAAATTCCCTGAAGCCCTAGACTCAATTAAACTACCATTCTATATGTACTAATGATCTATCTATCTATCTATCTATCTATCTATCTATCTATCTATCTATCTATCTATCTATCTATCTATCTATCTATCTATCTATCTACCTAATCTTTCTTTCTTTCTTTCTAACTAATCTATCCATCTTTCTTTCTTTCTAACAAATCTATCCATCTTTCTTTCTTTCTAACAAATCTATCCATCTTTCTTTCTTTCTAAATAATCTATCCATCTTTCTTTCTAACAAATCTATCCATCTTTCTTTCTAGCAAATCTATCCATCTTTCTTTCTACCCAACTAATCTATCCATCTTTCTTTCTAACAAATCTATCCATCTTTCTTTCTAACTAATCTATCCATCTTTCTTTCTAACAAATCTATCCATCTTTCTTTCTAACTAATCTATCCATCTTTCTTTCTACCTAACAAATCTATCCATCTTTCTTTCTACCTAACAAATCTATCCATCTTTCTTTCTAACAAATCTATCCATCTTTCTTTCTAACTAATCTATCCATCTTTCTTTCTAACAAATCTATCCATCTTTCTTTCTAACAAATCTATCCATCTTTCTTTCTAACAAATCTATCCATCTTTCTTTCTACCTAACACATCTATCCATCTTTCTTTCTAACAAATCTATCCATCTTTCTTTCTAACTAATCTACCCATCTTTCTTTCTAACAAATCTATCCATCTTTCTTTCTACCTAATCTATCCATCTTTCTACCTAACTAATCTATCCATCTTTCTTTCTAACTAATCTATCCATCTTTCTTTCTAACTAATCTATCCATCTTTCTTTCTAACTAATCTATCCATCTTTCTTTCTAACAAATCTATCCATCTTTCTTTCTAACAAATCTATCCATCTTTCTTTCTATCAAATCTATCCATCTTTCTTTCTAACAAATCTATCCATCTTTCTTTCTTTCTAACAAATCTATCCATCTTTCTTTCTACCTAATCTATCCATCTTTCTACCTAACTAATCTATCCATCTTTCTTTCTAACTAATCTATCCATCTTTCTTTCTAACTAATCTATCCATCTTTCTTTCTAACTAATCTATCCATCTTTCTTTCTAACTAATCTATCCATCTTTCTTTCTAACTAATCTATCCATCTTTCTTTCTAACAAATCTATCCATCTTTCTTTCTATCAAATCTATCCATCTTTCTTTCTATCAAATCTATCCATCTTTCTTTCTAACAAATCTATCCATCTTTCTTTCTTTCTAACAAATCTATCCATCTTTCTTTCTTTCTAACAAATCTATCCATCTTTCTTTCTAACTAATCTATCCATCTTTCTTTCTATCAAATCTATCCATCTTTCTTTCTTTCTAACAAATCTATCCATCTTTCTTTCTTTCTAACAAATCTATCCATCTTTCTTTCTAACAAATCTATCCATCTTTCTTTCTACCTAACTAATCTATCCATCTTTCTTTCTTTCTAACTAATCTATCCATCTTTCTTTCTAACAAATCTATCCATCTTTCTTTCTAACTAGTCTATCCATCTTTCTTTCTACCTAACTAATCTATCCATCTTTCTTTCTACCTAACTAATCTATCAGTCTTTCTTTCTAACAAATCTATCCATCTTTCTTTCTAACTAGTATATCCATCTTTCTTTCTACCTAACTAATCTATCCATCTTTCTTTCTACCTAACTAATCTATCAGTCTTTCTTTCTACTTAACTAATCTATCCATCTTTCTTTCTAACAAATCTATCCATCTTTCTAACATCTTTCATGATGCTAGCTACATGCTAATCATGCTAGCTTCTTGCTAAAAACATGCTAGCATGATGCTAGCAACATGCTAATCATGCTAGCATGATGCTAGCTACATGCTAATCATGCTAGCTTCTTGCTAAAAACATGCTAGCATGATGCTAGCAACATGCTAATCATGCTAGCATGATGCTAGCTACATGCTAATCATGCTAGCTTCTTGCTAAAAACATGCTAGCATGATGCTAGCTACATGCTAATCATGTTATTTTGATGCTAGCTACATGCTAATCATGCTAGCATGATGCTAGCTACATGCTAATCATGCTAGCTTCTTGCTAAAAACATGCTAGCATGATGCTAGCAACATGCTAATCATGCTAGCATGATGCTAGCTACATGCTAATCATGCTAGCTTCTTGCTAAAAACATGCTAGCATGATGCTAGCTACATGCTAATCATGCTAGCATGATGCTAGCTACATGCTAATCATGCTAGCATGATGCTAGCTACATGCTAATCATGCTAGCTTCTTGCTAAAACATGCTAGCATGATGCTAGCAACATGTTAATCATGCTAGCATGATGCTAGCTACATGCTAGTCATGCTAGCTTCTTGCTAAAAACATGTTAGCATGATGCTAGCAACATGCTAATCATGCTATTATGATGCTAGCTACATGCTAGTCATGCTAGCTTCTTGCTAAAACATGCTAGCATGATGCTAGCAACATGCTAATCATGCTAGTATGATGCTAGCTACATGCTAGTCATGCTAGCTTCTTGTTAAAAA